CCCACCCCGAGATGGAAGTCCCCGGCACAGATCCACAAGATAAGACAGACACCTTGGGCAATGTCGTCCTTGGCAGCCTCCCCGGATATCTCTACTAATACTACATGTATTATAAAATCTCAGTTCTGCCTGGGCGGTTAGTAGGGCGTTTGAAACTCAGCAAACCTAGGTTTACATCAGAGACTGAAGGACTGACACTGGTGTGGCGACAGACAGACAGATAGACAGACAGACAGATAGACAGACAGACAGACGAGGTGCACGAGGTCAAAAGGGCGACATATGCCTCCTGGCATAACGTGTACTCAACTCTCGCAGGCTCGCTACTCGTTTCGTGGAACAAATCTCACTCGGCACAATCGAGGATTTGATAGATCCAACCGCTGAGCCCCACGTGTGCTCACAAACTTGCAAGCTCAGAGCTGGCAAAGTGCCTGACACAAAATGACGACTGGCAAGGGGGAAGACTGCTGCAGAATTCCTGTCACTTGGACACAAATCACTTCCTCAGAATTACAAACGTCTGTCAGCCCAGTACCGAGGTGTGAGAGATTTGAGTTTCACAACATGGTTAAACTGTTTGGAGTGCAATTCTTTGAATATCTCGAGAACGACTCCGAATGATCTGACCATTTGGAAAGAACAGATGAGGATTTGGTTTCTGACCTCGTGGTCGTGGTAACTCACAACGTCCAAACATGTCAGACAGACCTTTGTCATTCTAAGGTTATTTGCTTGCTAGGTGTTTCACAGCCATCTCCAAACCCCGACAATGCATACCCCTCACTCCAACATTGTCATTTGACCACACACCCCTCACCCCAACATTGTCATTTGACAACCGGTGTCTATTGAAGTCCCACAGCCCCAGACTGATCAGGAGAAGAGATAGGCAGAACCCCCGAGAGAGGAAAGACCGGAAGGTCGTGGGTTCGAATTCCGTCAGGGGCCCGACGTTGTGTCCTTGGGAAAGGCACTTTACACGAATGTTCCTCATTTCACCCAGGTGGGAATGGGTACCCGGCTATAGATAGTGAAAGATCTTGTCAGTTTGTTAGTGTTTGAGCTCTTAATCAGCTGCTTGCACTGTATGCTTCCCGGGAAGCTGAGAATGTTTCGGAGCGTTCTATGGTCTGCTGGGGTAATAATATAGTGTAAACCGCATAGAG